AGCATCAAATTGAAATGCCGTCATGCGGTGACCTGCTTAATGAAGGCATGACGTATAACTGAAACTCTGGGCTCACTTCCAAGCTTACAGCCTTCATTCAGTGACAATTTGAAATTACAATGACAAAATGGATCCGTGTCTGAAGATATGGCCATTGTGGTGCTCCCACAATGATGTGATCCAAATTCAGATGCAGCCCGCCCATATTTACAATTGGGGGGGGCATTGTAACTTCCTCTGGCTATTCCCTTCCCACCCTCCCCTGCATCTATGCCTTTTTGGTCGCCCTGCATAGCGGGATAAAGTAAGAGCCAGCTGCAACCACCCTACTTCAGTCCCACCACTGCCACTGCCACTGAGAAATGCCACCTCCAACCCACACCGCTGATCCTTAGGAAGCCAAATTTGTCCAATTGCCTAAATTGCAGATGCCATTCAAATGGATTTGGGGAATGAGGCTTCCAAAGCACTGTGAGAACAGGGGGCCTACCCAGTGGTGGGATTCAAATAATTTAACAACCAGTTCTCTGCCCTAATGATTTCTTCCAACAACCAGTTCACCAAACTGCTCAGAAAGTTAACAACTGGTTCTCCTGAAGTGGTGCAAACTGGCTGAATCTCACCACTAGTCTACCATTCTCTTAAGTGGATGGCCCATTCTCACAAGTCCTGGGGAAGACCAGAATGTTTCCAAAAGATTTCAAGAACAGGAAGTTATTTAATCTGCTTCATACCATGACATTGTGGTCATTGCTACTGTGTTGGGAAAAGGTAATAGAGAGTTGTTTTGTGCAAATGCTCCCAAAGTTTACTATGGCATCCTACTTTACAAGACTTTCTGAAATGCACCTTTCATGGGTTTATACACCCCAAATTTGGTAGCAGCAGGAAACATTTGAGGTTTCAAAATACTAATATAGGCTTTTTAAGACTTCATGGTGCATTTGTTTATGCATGTTCACACACACAAACATACATACGTGTATGCCCAAATGTATGCACTGTGACTACATACAGCAGAGAAGATTAAAATGTTATGCGCCATAGTGGCGCAGTGGTTAGAAAGCAGTATTGCAGGCTAATTCTGCCACCTGACAGGAGTTTGATCCTGACTGGCTCAAGGTTCACTCAGCCTTCCATCCTTCCGAGGTCGGTAAAATGAGGATCCATATTTTGTGGGGCAATATGCTGACTCTGTAAACTGCTTAGAAAGGGCTGTAAAAAAACTGTGAAGCAGCATATAAGTCTAAGTGCTATTACATTCTCTGCACTAGGACAGACTGGCAAAGCATGACCAATGATTGGCTGGATATCTTTAAGCATTCAGACAAACACTAAAACATATGAAGAACGGCTGCAGGATTTGGGTCTGTCTAGTCTAAAGAAAAGAAGAATTAGGGGCAACAGGATAGCAGTATTCCAGTATTTGAGGGGCTGCCACAAAGAAGAGGGGGTCAAATTATTCTACAAAGCACCAGAGGGCAAGACAAGAAACAATGGTTGGAAAATAATCAAAGAGAGAAGCAACCTGGAATCAAGGAGAAACTTCCTAACTTCCATTAATCGATGGAAGTTCCCTTCAGAAATTGTGGGCACTCCATCACTGGAGGTTTTTAAGAAGAGACTAGACAGTCACTTACCTGAAATAGTATAGGTTCTCCCTGCTAGAGCAGAGGGCTGGACTAGAAAACCTCCAAGGTCCCTTCCAGCTCTATTCTATTCTAACCATTCTGAAAGCATTTAATGTCCGCAAATAATGAGAGCATTAGGGAATCACAGGCTGAATTGAAATCCATCTTGTATTAGGCATTTGAAGGTTATTATAAATATCGTACCTGTATTTCATATTTTCAGATTGGAAAATCTTACAGGAGACTAATGCAACATAAAACGTACCATGCTAGTAGCCTGTACTGCCCCAGCTACGGATCCCAAAGAATGCAGCACACACAAAGTCTGTACAAACCTTAGTTTACTAAAATAAAATCAGTTTTTCAAACAAAGGCTGTTAATTAACTTTCTTAACAGCCTGCAAGAATCCAAAGAATAAATAATCTTAATCGGACTATGGTTGGCAGAAAGCCCAGAAGCAATTTGCAGAAAACTAAGATCAAGGCACGAAGGAGAATGAACGGTTGTTCCCTGCAAATTGCTTCAGTCGGTGTTCCTCCTTAAATAGGCTAAGGGAGTGGCCAATTAGCCCCAAGCCTTACTCTCAATGAGACCTCCTCCTGAGGAGCCACTCCTGCCTTTTGGCAGCTCTGCGCGCCCATGCATCGAGAAGAGGCTCCTCCTCTTCATCCTCTTCACTTAAGGAAGCTTCTGGAGGTTCTGAAGGCCCGGGCTGAATCCCCGCCTCTGGCACCACATCTTCTCCAACCTCATTGTCCGACTCGAGTGCCAGCTGCACAGGCTGCTGGCGCAGCACCACACCAGCCTCCTCGCTGTCCGAATCAGCCACCAGCTGTACAGGCCGCGTACGGGCCACAACATAGCCTTATAGCATACATTCCTTCCCATTAGCCAAAGATTGCTGAAAAATATTACCATAAAAGGTAAAGAAAAAAAAAGAGGAAGATATATTTATATATATTTATATATATAGAGGAGATATCTGATGACATCAAGTCAGGAGGAAAACCTCTCAGGAGGAACGTCTCTCGAGCTCTCCAGTCAGGGAAGAAAGTTCCCACACAAGCAAGCAAGAGAACCTGCTTAATTTGTTCAGAGTTTCAACCAGTGCTTTAAAGTCCCTTATTAAAAGATGACAGACCTATATTTAGGCCTTGACATTAAGCATTATCAAGAAGCAAAGAGTTGTCAGACATAAAAAAAATGTTTACCTGGTTAGTCACTAGGAAGGCCACAGAGACCCGTTTAGTCCAGGTTGTTCTTTCCTTGTCTTTTAACCACAAAGGTGAGTCATCTTGCAAAGGGAGCAAATGTTCTGTAATCAGGGCCTTGGTGAGTCAGGCATGAGCCAGGAACTCAAGTAAAGAAAGAACAGGAGCCTGAGGAAGACTGAAATATATCAACCGCTCCCAAAGGGTATGTATATGAAGCTTACATAGATTTCACTGATCATGGTTCTCTCTGAGCTTAGTTGTTTTCTTGCAGACATTTCATTATCCAAACTAGGTAAAATCATCAGTGCTAGTAAAGAGTGGGTAGTAAGTTGCTCTCAGTTTATATTCTAGTGTTGGTGGGAGTGGTCTTGGAAGCTTTTTGGTTGGACTGTTTATTATTAGCTTGTTTGGCAGTTCCTTGAGTTGGGGTATTGTTTACTTCTTGATTTCCTGATTTCTTTATCTTGATTTTTCCTTTACCGGTACCATATATGAAGGTTCTTTTTTTCTCTCTCTCTGCTGGAAAGCATCTCAATTCTCTCATATGTTATTCTCATAAGTTGATATTGCTGGAAAATACATTATATGAGAATATCAAGTCTCTCCTACACACCCTCATGATTCTGATTGCAGATTGCAGGCGCAAATGGATCCGTGATGCAATCCGAGTCCCAGTTTGGAGAGACACTACAATTTATAGGCCTTGTAGACTAAATGTTCCAGTTTTTGTCCTCATGTCAGAGTATCTGTCTGAAAAGGGGGAAAACCAAGAAGTGGAGGCCATCCTGATCTAAAAGGATGGAGACTTTGACTCAGTCTACAGCAACTCTCTTTATCTCCGGTCACCATTCTGCCAATATGGACACCAGATAGCAAACTGCCTGAAGTTGCACAACAGGTCCATTCAAAACTACACACAACATACTACAGGCTGTATTCGTACAACATACGAAATTAGCTTTAATCATTGTTAAGAGTTTTGTGTACAAACCCAACCCCCTGTATGTAAATAATTAATTAATTACTGTGCAAACCTAGAAAATGGGTTCATTCAGAGAATGTAACCACTGGAAGCAGATTGAGGAGCACAATGTCTCAGCCACTATCCTACTGTTTCTCACTGAACTGCCTACTTAGCATTCTTGGATTAATCAAAGTTATGTCTCCGTTACTCATCCTGTTCCTCCTCTTTTGCTTTTCTCTTCCTTCAGAAGATGTTGGAACCTCAACTTAGAGGAAGACATTCATAGCTTATTGCTGCAAAAGAAATTGCCCTCCTTGTTCTATTGTTGATCAATACTTAGTAACATAGGCCTAAAACAGATGTTGGCTGCAATTAAACAATTAAAATCCCATAAAGAAACTGGGGCATAGCTGTACCAGAAACAAATCTGAATGATGAATTCATAAGATGTTAGTTGCTTAGACAGATCTCTACTGTGTGAAAATGTATTAAGAAATTATGTGAAAATAGGCAAGTCTGTTCTTTAAAAAAACCTAAACCCACATTCCAAAAAATATTGAATGCATGTATGGGCTATATACCTAGTTCTCAGTTTCAAAATGAATGACTGTAACTATTTTGGGGAAGGTTTGTTTGGATATGAGAACTTACATGGCCACTACTTCCTCTGTTCCTGTAATACGATATCAAAATTCCTACCGGAAGTGGTGACCCAAAGATTTATTCTCCTGTCACAATATCCAAAGACTGCCAACACTGCAAAAAGAAATTGACCAAAGCCTTTTCCACTGCACCAAACTTTAAACTGGAAGTAATATTATCTGATTTGTGACTGTTGAGAAAAACGGGGCTTCCCATATCACTTTCAAAATCTGGCTAAGAAAACAACAAAAATAGCAACAGGAGAAAACTTTAAGATGAGTTAGTTTTGTAACCCCTGCCATTAATAACATTGCTTGGAAACTACTGACAGAACAGTTTAACGTGATCACCAATTAATATTGAGTTTATTGTGTGGTGGATCCTGGAAATATGCATAAGTTGTTTGCTTGTTTCATTTCTCATCACAGCCAACACACATGAGGTCTCTCCTTTGCTTTCCTGTATTTCCTGCCGTCTTTGCTATTATAAGTTGTGTTGTGGGAGCTCTATTTATAGTACAAGGAAAGGAAAAAGCACTTCTCGAGGCAGGAAAACTAACCAAGGAAAGAATCAGAGGAAGTGCGGCTGCCATTTTACCAAACAATTTGGAAAGCATTGAGCTTCGAAACTCACAAGTGTTGTCATTGTTGCTAAGAATATGAACTGAGCACAATTCCTTTGTTTGTCCTCCAGAAGTATTCAAAAGGGCAGCTTGAACGAGAAGGATAACGGAATGAAGAAATCCTAATTTAATCAGTATACTAAGTAGCAGAGCAGAAAAAAATCTGGAGCAGAAAAAGGAGGTGCACAGGTAGGTAATGCACACACAGAGGTAAAGTATCCAGTCTACATTTTATTTCTAGGTTTCTTAGAGATGCAAATAAGGTTGCTTTCCTCAGATCACTGCTCCATCTGTGTCTCTATTACTTTGATTGGCTGGGTTCGATGGGAATTGTACTTTGGCATCTGAAAACTAAACGTGCTGGGGACATTGAATCTCAAGTGGAAGAAACTGGGATGCCAATATAGGTGCTGTGTCAGAATTTCTGTAGGGACAAAAGGAGACTGTAATAAATCGAAGAAAGGTGAAGTCTGACAATATCTAATGCCCGTGTTCTTGAATAATTCATGTTTACATTACAAAAAAAGTACACTTTTTGTGTTTAGTTTGTGGCAAATATCGTAGTAATTGTACAAGTGGGACATGATCTAAATGCCTGCTCTTACACGGGCTGATCTTGCTGCTAAAAGCAGCTAGAGACCATTTAGCGACACGTCTGCAAGATCTCCTGATGTCTTCTCACTTTGACTGGTCTGGGGAAACTTTGTAATTGCACTGATTTTGTTGGATTCAGAACTTTCATTAAGACACAGTAGTGACTGTGAGCATGGGCTGTGATTCACAGCATCCTATGGCCTCAGTAAATGTGTTAGCCTTTACAATGGTCCAAAACTGTTGTTGTTGTTTTTGTTGTTGTTGTTTTAGCTTTCTTGGTTTCTACTATTCTCCTGAAACATTTAGAACATAATTTGGTAGAAAAGAAACTATAAATAAACTGATGGTGATGAATACTATCAATATAGGGTAGCTGTATTTGTTTGAAGAAGCAGGGTTGAAACAATGGCAAATATGCTTAGTTTGCAGGGACAATTTATTCTTGGTGTTAGTAGAAAACATCAGCGGTATAGTTGCCTCTGGTCCGAGATCTGAAAAGTACCAGCTGCCCTCTTCGTTCTCAACTAGCACTCTAATTTCAGTGGCTAACTTAAAGATTCAGGGTGACTTCTTTCCAACCTCTTGTGTTTTGGGGGGAAGTATAATGGCAGTCACAACTGTACAATGAAAGTCCATCCTTTTTCAGTTCATTAACCTTTTTTGAGCTCCACTCCACCACTAATGTACATGCTGCCTTATCAATCCATATATTTCTTTTATTGTCCCTCTTCCTGGTCACTGCCAATCATCTGACTTCCCTCCCCCAGATAATGGGAAGATGACAAAGCCTAGTCTAACATATTTTTAAAAACCATAAGGCTCCCTTTGGCCATATCAGGAGAAGAAGGGGACTCCAATACAGCTAGGGATGTCTATTTAAGTCAACCTTCTTCATGTACTGGGTTTAACAAGAAGGTAAAGTCACGATGAAAGAATTGTGCTCCCAGAGCATATTTCTACTATGATAAGATTAAATATAAGGCCTTCTGTCTATTCTGCTTAACGAAATACATTTTTGGAGAAGTTTTGTTTTGCCTCTAAGAAAAACAAATTTGAAGGCGTCTCTGCAAGTTAAAAGTTGAAGAGGCACATTATTGTTCCGCAGATATTTTTAAAAGTTAGAGATTACTTAGTACAAAATTACTTAGAGCCACATGAGAGTTGCATGTCCCCCTAATAACGAAATAAAAGTGTGTAAATAGGAAGTAGTATACATTAATAAGATGAGAACATGGGAATATTTGAAACTCTGCTAGATTGAGTCAAACAGTTATCTATGTTTGCAAAGTGTATACATGCAACGGGGGGCATTTTTTGTGCCTGCAAGCGCCTCCATGATAGGCTTCATATCTAATATGTTTTGATTACACTATTTTAATTTTTGAAAATAAATGAAAAGCAGACCCATTGCAAAGCAAAGTTCCAAATCATGCAGTCTCTTGTGAATACAGATGTAAAATTGATCTGAAAACACTTAAAAACTAGAACATAAACCCTGAAAGGTGTTTGTTTTTTTTTTATTATTTTAGTGGTGGAAAGTAGCATCTGGGATTACTAAGAGAGCAGGTAGCAGGAAGTGGCCTCACCACTTTAGTTCTGGTGAAGTGAATGGTATTTTGGAGTCTGACTATATTTCCTGCAGTTATTTTTTGAAAATACTGATAACATTATAATCATATTTTGGGACTCAGATATTACGCTCTAATGGAAGAGTGCTTGGGGATGTCTTCTAGAGGTCTTTTGGATGAAATGGATTACCGCTTCCAAAATTTGCAGCCAGTTCTTCTTTCCCATAAAGCGAAGATATTAGGTTGTAGAAAGCTGATTTGTCCTTGCCTCCTGAGGTGCAGGTGTGAATAGAGAAAAACAAAAACAACTTTCTAATGGAAGCCCTCACAGACATACAGTATAGTATTGAGAAAGAACTACACAACCACAATAATGTTGTTTGTTCCAAGAATTTGGTCAGCTTGCATTCCACAAATAGTGCAGCATTCCTCAAAGACAGATCTCTGAGCTGCAGTGCTAATTGGTTTTGGAAACTTAGAGGGTTTTTAAGGCCATATGAAGGATTATATGGCAGGAGTTTGGTCAGTCAAAGTAGAACAGATTTTCTTTTTTTAAAAAAATCTCAGCCTTTGGCTGCCTTCTTCCTTGGATCCCTGCTGATGATTTTCAGCTGATGGAAGAGAAGAACTGTTGGGTTTGTTCACTCACGATGTGCGTCCTGTCTTGTGTCTGACTCATGACATTAAATGTAAGATTGCATAGGCAGTAGAACAATAAAAAAGATTCAGAGCGATCCTCAAACTATATCTAATGTTATTGCCCTTCTTGGCTGAATCATGTGGCTAAAACAGTTCTGTTCATGGCTTGCTGTTGCCATTTATTGTGTTATCTATGGGCAAAAGAGGCTTGCTTTGGCCCCAACAATCCACCCCAATACATGTTTGATGATGCAGCTTTGCCTTCCAATTGTGGTAGTGACCTGTTTCATTTGTCATTGGAAAAGCAGGATTCAGTGATGGGAGTATCTGCATAGACTACTCTACTAGAGAAACACTAATAGAGGATATGGGCATCCAGAGGCAAGGAGAACAACTGTCATCATGTGTACATTGATGTCATCACACCTTTGATATAAATTATGTCATTTGCAAATTTCATAATTTGTGCCTTGCATAATGATGTCCCATGCCTATGGTGGTAGCCAGCTACTTCATGGTAGATTGCTCTTAAATCCCTTTAAGTAGGGATTAAAACTGTCTGCACTCTATGGCCCTTAGGGATTACTTGTTGCTTCACTGAAAAAATTGAACAGCTTAATTGTGAAAACAAAAGCACATTTTTCATGATTGTTTGCATATCCATGATTCTAAACTTCTGCAATCTGGTTACATCCACACAAGGTTGTAGTGTATTCCAACTATCTACAGCTATGGGAATTGTAGTTCAATGCATCTGGTAAGTACTTGGACCAACAAAAATACATTTTAGAATAACAGGCGATATCTACTACATTCTCCTAGAACTTCTCCCTCCAGTTTACAGATCAAAAATTCATACTAGCATGAATGCCCACGTGGCACATGAACTGATGAACTCATGATGAAATTTGTATGCTTCTCCACACAGAAGTGGCTCACTCATCTAGAGTTAAGGTGGTGTGAGCCACCTTCTTCCTTCCTGTGGATATTTTTGTCCTCAATCCCACACCCTCCATCCTCTCTTTCTCTCTCCCCCTGCCTCCCTCCCCCACTCCAGCGAACACATACTTGCCAGTCTCCTTTCCTTTCAAACACTTCCTTCCTCAAGTAATGGCTGCTCAGTATTGGACAGTTGGTCCAATTCACTCTTTCAGATTTTGAAAGTGTTGATTGGGCCAGTGGAGAACAAGCTCACCATCTTTCTCAAAGGCATCCCTCCTTGGGTAGAAAGCTATGTCCAGTAGTGAGCACCGCTCTCTTCCTGTTGAGGTCCACCTTCCTCCGTCCCTTTGCCTCTGACCATGCAAGGTTTTTACTCCCTTAGTTTACTCAGAGATCTTTGGGAAAGGTTTCATTTCACTGCTCTTTGCTTCAAATTCTGTTGGTGAACAGCCTCCAACTACAGATCCAGTCTATGATTGATTCTCCATCAGCATTTCTTACCTGTTATTACATTTGGGATCCATCTTTGTGTGGCTGAAGTATAAAACCTTTCTAACTCAGTTAGAATTTCTATTTGTCTCGATCTTTATTGTCAATGCCTCACTCACATAATGGCCCAAGGAAGGCCTGTTGAATATGCCAGGTGCTGCAGCATCATAGACTTTCAGAGCTCTTTCTTTGACTTGACCTGCACAGCAATAAAGGAGAATATTTGTAGTTCATAGTTGAAATGAAGGGTCCTTGGTGCTCTCTGAACTTGCCTGTTTTCTTGCAGATGTTTCATTACCCAAACTAGGTAACAACATCAGTGCTAGTCCTGACAACCAAACAACTAAGCTCAGAGAACACCAAGGACCCCTGCTCAGCAATGCTAGTAGATGATACTACCTGAGTAATGCTGAGAGGAGATATAGTCTCCTGCTCATATGCCAAATTCTCTTGGCCAGTTTACGTGACTGGCAGGAGGAATACTCTTATCACCATACCCCACTATGTCCCAGTCATGCTTTGTCTTCTGAGAGTGGATTTGGAGTCTACTGTAAGGAAAACAGAAATGGATAGGGAGAGATCTGTGGGGGGGTTCTTAAAGGACTCTTACCCAAAGAACTCTAGCCTCTTGGGATATCAGTATTGTATTTATGTAGCTATTAGCAACAGTAATACAAACATTTCACACATTTTCTTAATAAAATGCAGTATCCTTCCCCTGGAGTGGGGTGGGAATGGAGATTTTGCAGTATCCTTCCCCTGCCACACCCACCAAGCCATGCCCACCAAGCCACCCCCACAGAACCGGTAGTAAAAAATCGGTACTGCTGATCTATAGACATGTTTCTCTTTTTTTCCAGGTACATAGCAATGTGGAACCATGATTAGATGGTGCAGGGCTATACAAATAGTGAAAACAGAAAGTATAGCTATCTCTGTACTTGCAAGCGTGGATGG